ACTGAAATATGATTTTAAGGTAAAGGCCTATAGCCGAAGAAAAATTCAATTTTTAAACGATCGTCTTCGTAAGTTACGACGCGAACGTTGTCCATTGCTGCTGAGGAGACGTGATGCCAGGAACTCTTCACCGATGAGAAATTTTTTACTGGCAAAGAAAAGTTTAACCAACAAAACAAATGGACGCTAAAAGTAGCAAGGATGTCCCAGCTTCTGCACGGAATTGAAATTGAAATTCATTTATTCTAGAACAGACACAAGACACAGTTCATGTAAAAAAAAAATGATAATACACAATACTAGACAATAAAATATAATAAAACATATGTGTGTGTGTGAACGCGTGCGTGGCGTGTGTTTTTTATTTATTCAAAATATGCATTAATGAATGAAATTGAGAATTGAAAACATTACATATCTATAATAATTACTAATTAAATTGAAGACCTACAAATAAACCACAATGCAATTCAATTTGATTTAAGGGCACCTATGACCATTGACTAGAATAGTTCACATTCAAATGGAAGAGAAAAAGCCACACCACAACATTCAGCCTGCATCACACAATATCCTACAGATGTTATAAATGCGAAAGTTTATGTATTAACGTTTGAAAGAAACCTATATATAAGAAATATCCATGTTGATATTACCCAGTCCTTGCTGCGCATTCATTAAATATCTACGCGAGTGGTTTTTAAAAGTAAGCAAAGTATCACAATATGAACAAAGGTAGAGGAATGTTGTTCCAAATTTTGGAAGCTGCATATCGGAAACTTCCCCTGAAGGAATCTCTCGCGCACTCCTTCATACGAAATTGGAAATCGAATTGAAAAGGTGATCACTCCGCTCCATTTCTGCCAAAAAGATGTCGAGGTGAAAGCCAAGAATTATCAGAGTGACATGTTAGAGCCCATGTGGTGAAACCCCTGTCTGATACGTTATTTCATAATAAGGATTGGGTTTAGCAAGACTCGGCGCCATCCCATAAGGCAAAAAGCACCCAAGCTTGGTTGAGGGAGAGTGTGCCGGCCTTCATCTCGGCGGACGAGTTGCATCTCTTAAAGCGGGCAAAAAATTGACAACAAACAGAGAAGATGCGAACCCGAGAACGAGAAGGCGAGAAACTTATCACATTCTCGTGTCTTGGGTGTTGGGGCTTCTCGGCGTGAGTCTGTAGGGCCTATGTATGGGGCCTATTATGTTGTAACGCATAAAGTTCATTCTGCAACTCGCAATAAGAACGAATAATTACGTGTTATGTAGATAGGTGGTATTTCCATACAATTATTACGACACGTAACTAAGGTGGTATTGGTATTTTCTCATAACTCCTTATATATTGCGAATTTGAAATAATCGATTAAAGGAAACGATGCGTAAATTAACCATGAAAAGAACTGCATTAAAAAGTCAAAATCGCCAAAAGTGTAGATAGATGGTCTTGGTTCTTAAGCGTCTACAAATAAGAAATATTTAATGGTTTGTAATGGATAAACTCAAAAATACTGGGCAGATATAAATACTCTACCCATATTTTGTTTTCAATGAATTAATTTATTCCTCATTATAAACGCTTGTGAAGCTGTAAAACGCAGCTAGTGTATTAAGAAACTAGCGTCGGTGCCAACCCTACCGATGACAGGTAGCGGAACGGGCGGCGCGCGCTCACCCGGTCATCGTAACGGGGGGCTGCGGTAACGGGAGCCGGCAATAATGCGGCAACACGGGGAACTAAGTTGACCATCCTCACTTCCGTCAACCGATTATCTTAGGACGCCATCGAACGGAACCAAGAGAGCGCGTGCGCGGTGACGCGTCAACCACCTGTGTTTATACACACCGGTTCAATAACATATGCATTTTTTGTTTAATTCTTCAAATTTTCGATGTTACAATAATATCCTGTTACAACTGACCGATGGTAAAGTACATCATATAAGTCCTATGTATTTTTTTCAAGATCCCTGCATTAAGCTTTACTTCGATTAAAAAGAGGGTAGGGTTGAAAATCACCTATATTTTAAATAACAATAAAGCTATAAAAATTGTACATACAAGTAATTTAATATTTGAGAATCTCACAAGCCCTTTCATTTGTTACGAATTTCATAAGTACTTATTTAAAAATCGTCGCAAATATTGTCAACATGAACAGACATGCGAGAAATCGTTTTTTTGTGCGGAATAATGTAAATAAAATACATTGTACCTTTACAATTTTTGGTTACACCAGAATAATAGAAAGGCTGAATAATAAACAAACTATTGCATAATAAAATTACAAGTTCGTAAAAAGTGTTGCACACGCGCACTTCACGGCTGTGTGCACTGATCTCCTTTGTTATTATCGTTTATGATCCGGAATAACGGCAGATGGACAGATTTTATTAATTATTATGATCTACGACAGCCATACTCAAAGTGTACTCCGCGGTACCTGTGGGGGCTCCGCAAGAATTTAGGAAAAAATAAAAAACAACTTCATACCTCCCATTATATATTTTCTTTTTTTTTATCTCTTCTATTCTATAAATATTGTTATGCAATCAGTAAGTAACTGTTACGTTGCATTCTCGAGTATTAATAATAATAAAGAATGCAAATTAAGATATTTTTGTTTTACTTTAGTCCGGGTTCCGTCAAGTATTTCGCTTTTCAAATTGGTTCCGACACCAAAAAAGTTTGAGAACTGCTGATCTACGAGATAATACTTATAATTAATATTGCGAATAAATGGAAAAGATCTACATTGCAACACACTACGTTAAAGAATTTGAATACTCGACTATTTATTGGGTTTTACAATATTTAACTTTATATGCCATTGATTTTACAAAACAAAACAAAGTATATTGATTTCTTATAATTCCACGCGCATTATCTATAAATAAAACAACTTTTAAATTTGGGAGTATTATTGTCTGAGAAGAACCGACAAGAAAAGTGAATTGCTCCCTTTGATTTAATATTTACAGAATGAACTATTTGTATCTTTTTATTTTGCAATGTGTGATCTGGATTGACATTTTATTTGAATAATTGTTGGATCCCAAGCCGGTGGTATATACCGACCCTCATCTCTATTAAAATTTGGACGTTTTTAATTTCATTAGCTTCGCATATCAATCTAGTGATGAATTTTTGTTCAGCCGCAAAAACTTTTGGATTGTCAAATCTTATGTAATGCATCAATATGTCGTCAGTATTTATACTGCATATTGTCGACAAAATAAGTTCTGAAAATTGTTCTGCAATTCGCGGAAAAATCTGCGGAAATATATAAAAAATACCCGTCAAAAATAGTATCACCTTTTCAGCTTTCGGAGTCTTGTCAATAACTGAATAATATAACCACGTAACCCACAGTGACATAATATACCTAGCGCGTAATGCATAATAGTTTTGCATGTGAATACTGCATTTGTTGCCCACATTAGTGGTCCACAGAGAAAGGATGTGGTAGTGAGTGGTCCGGGCCGAACTCGACTGTAGAAAAGCGGATGTTAGCTCACGCGGTGATTACCTATTAATGCCCTGCGAACCATTGACAACTTACATTAAATATACATGCTGTGGTACATTATTGAAAATATGGAATAAAAACACCAAATTCAAATAATAAAAAATATATCTCTGTAGGCATATTTATGTATTATTTTTCGAGAATTGAAATATCAGTTTATGAAAGTAGAAATATTTTAGATGCATTATAAAACAAGACAGTTTTTTTTATAACGGATAGCAGTAAAAACCCTTATATTTTGAAAAAGAAATAAAAATGTTATTAATATTTAGATTCATCATCATCAAACCTCTTACGTCCCAATGCAGGGGCTCGGGCCTTCCTTACGGGTGGTTAAGGACGATGGGCCTCCACTCTGACCCAATACGGAATGGACTGCATTAACGACTGTAAATGCAGGCGGGATCAACGGCTTAACATGCCTTTCGAAGAACGGAGTAGCTCGAGTTAATAATTTTTTAGTCACACATCACGTGACCGACCCTTACGAAAGTTGCTTAACAACAACGATTGAGGGCGCGGCGCTTATCCACTGCGCTAATAATCTACAATATTAAGATTACGCATAAGGAGAAAATAAGATGGGCTATTCAACAAGACAAACAAGAAACAAAGCACCTATGATGACGTATTATGCGATTGATTACTCCTCGAAAATATTTACATTTTGATTAAAACATACGTATACATAAAATTTGCAATCGGCAACATTAGGCTTCACAATAGGAGACAGCGACATCTCAATTATTCAGTTGCATCTTATAACGGTTCATTATGAAACAAAATTTTAACATTTTGTAATGAAATTCTATTCTGATAGAGAAAGGAAAAAGTTGATAGACTTTTATAACTTCACTTTCATTTGAAATAAATATAAAACTGGAGTAAATGTTACTGAGATATTACTTTAATCGTGGCTCGTTGATGTCTTTTAGTAAGAGAATAAAATTTTATTAATTATCACGTTTTATTTTCCTTCAAGAGCATAACAATATTACTTTTTTCACTTTTAAAGATGCCATAAAAATTTATATTAAAAAAAGTAGTCAACCGTAAAATTTTATTAAAGATAAAGGAAACGGACACAAATAAATGTCCTTTCACGATTACGTGCGATTTGATATAATAATTTTCGTCAGTGAAAGGGCCATAATAATACATACAAAAACCATTAAACTTAGAATGAGTAGGTACGTTACCGCATATAGTTTCATTTAAGAACTTGTTCATTTACGCGTGTCTGTTAGTGCACATCGTAGAAAAACAGTTTAATGTCATATCATTGACATAAGATTCTAAGGATTTAAATTGATCATTCAGCTCAATTAACCACAACATAATAAATCAAAGTAAAGTAGTATCAGTTTCCGAAGTCACCATGTAACCGTCCGCATCGACCTCAACCCGAGATGACGGCGACAGTGCGCGCACGCGCAGGCAGTCCGCCCCCAGCCGCGCGACCGCGCGCACCATGCCGCGCCCGCGCCTCTCGCTCGCCATGCGCGACAACTGGCGACATCTGCAGCGCCTGTACGGCTTCGAGGTCGACTACGACGACTGCGTACCCCCTCGACGCGCCCCGAGCTTGGATTCCCTCATCAACTCATCAGAAGCGGCGTCCAGCGCTGACGCATCCGCCCCCGAGGATTCCGACTCCGGCGCCGACACCCGGCACGACCCCGATCCCCCGAGGAAGCAATACACGTACACCAATCCCGATCGGATCCCTAAGAAATGTCCTCAAAGTTTCTCGTCGTCGTCTAGTGGTCACATGGAGACGATCCACGAAGAGACGACCGAACCTAAAGTGTCTGTGAAAGAGATCCTCGCGAGATTTGAAAATCTCACCGAAAAGACTGATTCCGCACAGGTAAATGAGTGTTACTAATAAGTCGAAGGCGTTAAAGAGTCAGTAGGACCATGTTTGGATTTTATTGCAACGAATTCTAGATTGAACCCTTCGGTGTAGCAACTCAAGAATGCAGAGATCTCGACGAATGCCCGTTTAGACGTGCCATATTTAGTGACGAAACGATTTTTTCGTCGTGTTTACTACGAGGTGTCGTAATCGATCAGGTATTACTGATGTACATTTCACAACTGTGACAGATCCACAAATACGATTACAATGATCCAATCAATAATTTTCCCTTGGTATTTTATCACCATATTTACAGAGTACTACGAATGATAATTGCGAGTCGATTATTAATTTTTTGCGACGACATCACGTCGTGTGCACATCACTTTCCAATTTGTATCGATCGATGATCTCGGTTGCATCGCATCGATCTATTCATGAGGTCGCCGCGATTGGTAAATATGCTGTAGCATTTTATCAGATTCGCACACATTAATTGTATAATTAGAAGATTCATCTTTGAGTAACGTCGATCGCTGTGCAACTTCGAAAGCTTGAAAATTGATAATTCCATAAAACTACGTAACATTCAGATTGTTGTCATCATATGATTTAACAATTAAACTGCCTAAATAATTGCTTGTTGAAACTCCGACCGTGTGACTTGCAATCTGTAAGGTTAACAATTAACGGCATTGGTTAGAATATAATGGGGTTACCAATTTCAAGTAGGTATTACTCAGTTTCAGTTATTAATTAAAGTCGAAATGCGTGGTGTCTAGAACATTTTTGAAATACTCGTTTAATATGAGTCCAATTAGCGTTATTTTAAACATAAATAAATACTTTAAATTATAATATTTTCCCATAAAATGTAATCGTGAGTAATAACAAAAATAATATTCTTTGCTGACTTGACGTATTTATAACACAGTGCAATTATCTAGTTACACATATTGCTGTATAGCATCTTTATAGTTTTTTTTTTTTTTGTTAAAAAACAATCTTCAATAAAATAATTAATACCTTTATTACTTTCTCAAGTAGGTTTAATTTGAATGAACCTTTACGCTATGCCACGATCTAGGCCGAATGGCACTGATGATCCGTCACAAAAATTGCATTCCAAAGAATCTGTGTTCTCTTCACCAATAACTTCTGTATTTGAAAATTACAATTACAACGACACAACCAAAAGTACAATATTGGGCGCATGCAAAAGCTCTACCTGTTTGAATATCTTCGAATGTATATATATTATACATCAAGTTTTCATTACACTTTGTTAGTAACGAAAGATACCGCCGTTCTTAAAAAATCTTCTGTTTTTATGAACAATCTCTACTAGCGTTGTGCTGGACCATCATATTACGATGGGACATTATATGCCATCGTACATATTTCTCGTATACATAACGAACGCCAAGATGTTATCAACAAAATGGCAATTATACTGAGTGATAAGAAAAAGGATTTCTTTTTATATTTATTTGAACATGATGAGAGAACTTTTACATATTCAATAATAAACAACTACAACATTTTAACGTCTGTTTCAGTAAATAACTCTAAGTAGAAAACTTATGATATCAATAAATTATTTTAGTCAGTGGGAAGCTCATTACAATTGCTGTTATTTACATATTTATAACTCTATAACGTTAGTTATTTCCACTAACTATCCGCGTTAGAATGGCACACTTTCATACTCAACTCATTATAATATAAATAAACTCAATTAATTATGATTCAGCACTGTTATGTTCCGTTTATAGACGTACGGGCCGTAACCTAATTTGGAATAAATTTAATCTAATATTATTCACTCATAAATTAACTGTACAAATGCTTAGATTACTAATATACACACATAAAATAATAGTGAAATATTAAAATAATAAAATCAAATTACAAAATGATTTAAGAAATTTTAAAACCAGGTTACATTTTCGACATCCCTTAGTTAGAGTCGCGCGTGAGGATAGAGATAAAGACATAGTATATTGTCTACGTTAATATTAGAATATTTATTAGTTAATATTTTGCTGCCCTCTGTACGGATATTCCAAGATGTTTTGTCCTAGTTTGAAAGGTGTGTCCAGTCGCGGTGTTGCATACTGTTTGTTTTTCTAACGTACAGTTATTTAACGATATTTACTTTTACAACACCTCTGACTTTAGAGCTTTAGAGCTCTTTGCCCTAATTTTCGTATTTACAGGTGGCAACCCTGGTAATACTTTAATTCACATTAGAGAAAGTGTTTGAGATTAGCGCAGGTTGAAATGACCTTTTTAGTACCATCAGTATGAGCCTCGGGCACATTTTATTGCCATCATTATAAACTCACTTTTAAGTGTAATTTTAATATAAGTAAGTACATTTATATATTAATGATTTGAAAGCCTCGTACTCAATTTCACTTGTCACTTCACCGTGATACATTATTTTTCCCTAAATCAAGGATTGCTATCTAATCTTTTTTTAATAAAAAATAAATAATAGAATAAAATACCAAAAATTGTATTGCTTTTTCATAAACTTTAAGTTACTAAGAATTAAAAAAACCGAAGTAGTAAAGTATATTTAGAACTTAACAAAAGGATCGACAGCAAATTAAGCTTTTATACATCTTTCATTGAATATAAAACATATATATATATAGTTGTTTAAAATGATTCACTGTTAATGACAAGTCCTAAAGTACAAAAAGAGTTTGTGTAGTATTATATAATTATCAAGCTAATCTGCGCGATAATTATCGACCGAACCCTGCCAGAAAGAAACTCGAAAACTATTACAATTTATTCAATATTATTTATTTCCCTGTAAAAAGTAGAATTATCTATTCACTTATCCCAACTATCACACGGAAATATATCGTAATTTTCTCCCTTTTGGTTACAGTTTATTTGGGCTTTATTTACTTTGTATTATGCACTATTAGTTTTATATTAGTGATGTGCTTAATGCACCCTCTTAATTGACCTGTTACATTTTAAATTAGATTTAAGTGCGAACGTGATCCTTCACAAGTCAAGGCAAACGCGTACATGCCGACCAATGATTGATCTTATGATCAACTCGCGTATAGTTGTTATACAATTGCCATTTTGATATATACTTTCAAATATCCGGAAAAAAACTTCACATAGTTGTGTTCGTTGGAAGAAAACAAATCCATCTGGCTATGTTATATGAATTATTAAGAAGCTTACCCATCGGACTTCTTACCGCTTTTGTATGGGAAATAATTGTATTGTTTTTAGTATTTTCTTTTTAGTTTTCTATTATTATTTCTCTCCATAACTTCCATAAATTCATGTTTGGGCCCAGCCATTCTGAAGTTTTACGTTGTACTGTACACATTTTATTTAGATATAATTAACGATATCAAATGTGTGTTGTGCAAATAATCAAAGAAAATCTATTCCAGTGCTATAATATAAAGGTAAATAAAAAATATGTATATTATCTATCTTTCGAATTAGTACCTATTTCTTGCGAAAATGTTATAATTACAACGGATTTAGGATCTTCTTCACATGAAACTCATTTTCTTTATAAAATATACGTAATGAAAATTAAAACGACAACACAATGCAAAAATTACAAAAATGTACAAACAAATTAAGTACAATTACAATGTTTTGGTAAACCGTGAAATTGTTATCGAAGTATTAAACATCGTGAGTGAGTGAGTGTATCAATCAATAAGATTTTTATGACGACGTCCTCATTTCTAAGCCCGTTGGTTGCATAAAGAGTACTTGACACTTCCGACACCACTACATGATTATAATAACATTATCGCAAATAGAAACAGTGGCAACATATATATATATATATGTTGTAATCACTAAATAATTGTATACATCTTTTTATATAACTTACGTTGTAAATACTGAAACTGAAACATATTTTGGCTGTGATTGAGCAAAGTGATTAGAAATTACAATATCGCTGCTTCAAATTTTGTCTACTGAAAATTGTATTTAAAATAAAATTGTATGGTCTACTTTAAATATGGCCTCAACTTTTTCTTAAATCGTTTGTTATGGTCAGAGAAAACAATAATTAAAATTAATTATTTGTATCAATTGTTTTATAAAGACAGATGATATACGTTATTATTTAAAATTTCTAGTTCTTATAATGCCTTCGAAATAATATTATAAATAATTTAAATCAATTTAAATCATATCAAGAGATAAAACATGTGAAAATGTACACCTTTGTACAGCCAATCTCGAGGCTGAACTATTATTCTATTCTTGTGAATGCTGGTGATTTGAATTTTATTTCTTATTGTAGGGCTTCTTTAAATACCGATACTGGCAATTACACTAAAAAGTGAAAAATAAAATTGTAACAATGCGATCCCCTGATGCATGGCGAGCGAAAGTTGATATGCGTGTAGACACACTATATATAGACAGTACAATTGTCAATAGGTATGACCGTCATTATGTTTGATGCAAGGCGGTGGCATGCAATTTGTGGAAAACTACTTTACGGTGTTGTGCGCGTGAAAAAATGTAGGGTAATCTAAACGCCCTTACGGAGTAATTAATTACACTTAAACTGGGGGCCTCCGCGTTAGTATAAAATTAATTGTTTTGATTGTATGAATGTAGCAAAAATTTTCTAATGTCTGGCCTGTAATATAACAATTAAATAATTGTAATTTATATATAATCACAATTATAATTTATGGTAACACTGCAAAAAATCAAATAAGCTCACTCACTGAGAAAGTCTTGACATTAAATAATACATAGTAATCTAATGATTTCAAAATTAATTCTAGGAATGATAGAATCCATTAAAATATAAGAAATCAGTTGATATACTATGCTTGTATTAGATATACCTATATTTGTAGGTTTAATGAAGTTTAAAGTAACACGAAAATGATAAGCATTCTTTCATTCTCAAAATCTATATCATATATTTTGATTAATAACATAAGCACATAAAGCTAAATAGCTGACACTTGGCACCAAATTAT